AACAAGACGAAGTACAAATTTGGATAATACTTCAATAAAAATGGGTCAAAGACAAAAATGGCCGGGTTGCATTTGTATACCAAATAACATGACTCATGAGGCTGTGATGGTACAAAAATTTCCTATCATTGACCATTAATGTCGAACATTTAACTAAGTTGGTAAACAGGAAGTGGATAAGCGATAGACCTGAAATTGGGACCACATGTTAATGCAGTCACAATACCAAATATCAAGAGGCTGTGTTATGTAGTTGCTGAGAAAACTGTTACGGAAATGTCCTTCCATTTACAATTAATGCTGAAAATTTAACTAAGTCATTAAACCAGAAGTGGATGAGCCACATACCTGAAATCATATCCCATTGTATGTGACTACATGTTGATGCTGTATACCAAATATCAAGAGGCTGTGATAAGTAGTTGCTGAGAAAATTGTTACGAAAAATTCCTACCATTGACCATTATTATGAATTTAACTAAGTCAGTAAACATGAAGATGATGAGTGACAGACCTGAAATCGAATCCCATGGTATGGGACAATGTGTTAATGCTGTATACTAAATATTATGAGGTTCTGTAGAGTAGTTGCTGAGAAAACTGTTACCAAAAATGATCCAACCAATTTGACTGCCTGCCCGGAATCAAGTCTCAATACATGATGGTAAACAGTATTTTTTTTTGCATGTAATTATGTATTTTTTTTCGAAAACCAGTACTATAGTTGTAACAGATATCCCATTATTGTTAAAATATTAAAATATTTTTTGATAAAAGTGTTTACTCAAGGGTATCATGTTGAGGACAGGATCTAACCCCCAAGCATCTGTGGTTTATCAATTTAGGACACCCCTTTCTACAAAAACTTCTTCCTGTTCACATGAGTGGCTCTATACACAGGTTTAATAATAAAATAAAATCTTGTAAAATGTTTTTTTTAAAAAAAACAACAAACAGCAGGGATCTCAGGAAGGTCAGAATTTCACGTGGCAGACTGTTTGGCCAAAAATTTTCATGAGTCAAATCAGTTTTTTCTTGTGTTATTTCTCTACATGAATCATTTTCATGTTTCAGAAATTACTGTTTGGGAAGTCATTTAGAGCAGATTTTCAAGTTTAAATAAGGTTAGGTAATTTTTAAATTATAAGCTTCTTGCTTAGTTAACAATATGATAAAGATAATTAAGTATTTCTAGCACCATGGATAATTACCATTATTATTGTTCCATTTTCACTTACATTTATTGAGGTGAATAACACATGTGTACATGTATAATTTTAGAAATCATATCACGGGAGGTGATATTTACATAAATACTGAATGTCATCCCTTAATACTTCACTAATAGTTAACAAAATACCTGTTTCAACGAAGCACACCGATAATTGTATTCATCTTCACTTCTTTGTTTTGAAATACAAGTTTATGTTACAAAATTTCTCAATTTCCTGGTGCAAGGCCGCCATTTTGTCCTACTTATAGGTCAGATTGATACAGATGTTTTCTGAGGCAAAAATGTTGACTCAGGACTGATTTATATGCATTATTTAATGATTTGAATTGTATGTTTATGATCAGAATGAAATATTATGACATAATTCATTCAGCAGATTCAGTAAGACCGGTGTACACAATGTTGAAATATATGATTTTTCCCGCAAACCAGAAGGATGTATTTAAGTAATATCCGTACTGTAAATTAAACCTTTATCTTAATCAGCTATCTTTTGTGAAAAAAATACAACATTTTTTGTTCACTTTCGTTTCTTTGTGCAATATCTTACACAATAAAATGTGCAAGTCAATGTCAAGAACCGAAATATTTTACATTGTATTTCGGAAATGACACAGTCTCCTTTCTGATGGTGTTACAAAATTAATGGAAGAATCCATTATAAAATGGGGAAATCAACTTCACTGTAGCTCTAAAATTTGAGCTATTCTGATTGACTTTGTTTTGAATTAACATTCACAATCAACAACATTTTAATTTTCTAATGCTTTAACAGAAAAATCATCATAACAATGTCTGTTGAGAAAAAAATACAAGATACACTTTCTCAATTTATCCCTACAAAGACAGTCTATATAATCTTGCAATAAAAAAAACCCTTTAATCCCCAAAACAGAGACCAATTTTCAACTCTAGACCATAATTTGAATATACTTTGTAGAAATCAACAAGCTAATGCCTTGTGAGAAATATTTAAGCTGTAGCCCTTTCCATTTTGAAGTATTAGAACTTTTAAGCTTTTTAGCTCACCTGAGCAATGCTCAGGGTGAGCTATTGTGATGGCCCTGTGTCCGTCGTGCGTCGTCGTGCGTCGTCAACTTTGAACATAAACAACATCTTCTCAAAAACCAATGACTGCACATCAACCAAACTTTACAGAAATGATCCTTGGGTGGTCCCCTTTCAAAGTTGTTCAAATGGTTCCGGTCTGTTGCATATGTAGGTCATAGGGCCAGAAAAGGATTTCAAAAAACACAAAATTAAAAAATCTTCTTGTCTGAAAGTACATGGGCCAGAGCTTTGATTTTTGGTATATGGTATCATCTATGGGTCCTCTACCAAAGTTGTTCAAATTTTGTCCCTAGCGTCAAAATTGGCCCTGCCCCCGGGGGGTCATAGGTTTTTCCTTACATGTATATAGTAAAATCTAAAAAAATCTTCTCTGATTTGGCAAAGGCTACAGATAAGATTTTTGGCATGAAACATTGTGTAGTAGACCTCTATCAAGATTGTTCAAATAATTGCCCAAGGGTCAAAATTGGCCCCGCCCGGGGGGGGGTCATTGATTTGCATTACATACATATAGTGAAAACTTGAAAAATCTTCTGGTCTGAAAGTAAATGGCCTAGAGCTTTGATATTTGGTATATGGTATCATCTGAAGGTCCAATACCAAAGTTGTACAAATTTTGACCCTAGTGTCAAAATTGGCCCCGCCCCGGGGGGTCATAGGTTTTTCTAATATGTATATAGTAAAACATAAAAAAAATCTCCTTCTCTGAACTGGCAAAGGCTACAGGTAAGATATTTGGCATGAAACATTGTGTGGTAGACCTCTACCAAGATTGTTCAAATAATGGCCCTCGGGTCAAAATTGGCCCCGCCCTCGGGGGTCATTGATTTTCATTATATACATATAGTGTAAACTTGAAAAATCTTCTGGTCTGAAAGTAAATGGCCTAGAGCTTTGATATTTGGTCTATGGTATCATCTATAGGTCCAAAACCAAAGTTGTTCAAATTTTGTTCCTAGAATTAAAATCGGCCCCGCCCCGGGGGTCATTGATTTTCCCTATATGTATATAGTAAAAACTTTAAAAAATCTTCTTTTAAAGAACCCAAAGAGCTAGAGCTAAGATATTTAGCATGAAACATCTTCTAATGGGTGTCTACCAAGTTTGTTCAAATAAAAGCCCTGGGGTCAAAATTGGCCCCGCCCCAGGGGGTCATTGATTTTCCCTATATGCATATAGTAAAAACTTAAAAAATCAAAGTGCTGCAGCACTGAATGCGACGGACATGCAACCGGAGAGACACCAAGGCTTCTTTTAGAAAAAAAAAACAAAACAAAAACAAAACACAAAATATATAACAGAGAAAATTTGTTCCATACAAGTTCGAGATTTGTAGAGCAATATATTTTGTGTCCCAAATTGATATAATTCAGATTTTCTACTTTCAAGCACTTCAATACAGAATGAAATTTATGCCTAAAAACTCTGGTCAAACTTGTAAATCAGTGTCCTTATCGATTTATTCTAAGAAATGATATGTAAATAGAAAAAAAACTATCAACGCAATATTTCTAGAATAAATTCAGGCAAATAAACTTCAAACATAATACATTGTACATTTGAGAATGCTATTTAGAATTGCTTCGTGTTATATCATAGTGGGCATACAGACAATAAAATATAAGTCATTTGTATTTTTATTTCTCTTGGAAATGTCTCATTAAAAAAAATTGGTTAAAATCATCAGCAATTAATAGTGTATTTCTTAGATTTTTTTATTTACAAGGTAAAGATGTAGAGGCCAGAGCACATCGTTTTTATTTTAATTTAAATGTCACTTAAGCACTACAGTGTTTAGTTGTCCTTTTCAACTTCACACTAAATTCCATTTTCAACTTGTTTGCTTCTTACAATTGTATAGCATTTCTAAAAGTATTGCATTACAATCCGCTGGTTTATTAATTACATGTTTAATGTGTACTTCCTAATCGCCTGTCCAAAAATCAGAACAGGTAAAGCAGAATCTATTTTTAGAATATCGAAGGTTAACTCATATCATGACCTAGTAAAATATGTAAACAAACCACAAGAATCGGAAGTAGAACTGATATTATAACTTCCTTACCATGATTTCAAGACTACATGGCGGTATTTAAAGTGTCTTACATGCATTTTCAAAAATAGATATTTATACTAGCCATTGAACTGTACTGTATCTAATATATTAATAACTGCTGAATATTCAGCTAAACCCGCGGTATGAGTCACGAAAATAGTTCTTCTTTTATTAATGCGCGAGTTATCCTAGAGTCACGAAAAAAATTTGATTTGTTAATAATAATGTTTTGTATAATGTAGAAATATTTATTTCCTACTAATAATGTCTTGGAACTCAGAGGTTACACCTTTATTGTAGTATAATTTGCTGTCCTACTTTTTCGACAGCGGTAAATCGTTTCAGCAGTAATTTGCATATTGCGCAATAATACTACGGGACTACAACGTTTTTATCAATAATATACGTTCATATTTTAACTTGGATAACTTAATTTGAAATTGAAAAGGCTAAATATGGAAGACATTAAGATATCCAGACAAAGTATGGGAGTTTTGAAGGATCAAATTCATGTACTATTTCTTGGGCTGTTAATTGGTTTAGGACACATTGCGCGAGTGTAGCCAACGAAATCCCATGTGTAGATGACTTAGCTCTGAACGCGCCTGAGGGCGCGTCCGTCGCAAAAATCTTTTAAAGAATGCAAAGAGCTAGAGCTAAGATATTTAGCATGAAACATGTTCTAATGGATGTCTACCATTAAGTTCGTTCAAATAAGAGCCCTGGGGTCAAAATTGGCCCCGCCCCGGGGGTCATTCATTAGCTCGACTTTTTTTTTTTTTATATATATATGTATATATATATATATATATATATATATATATATATATGTAATTTATATATATATTATATACAGTCCAACCCGGTTTATTCGAAGTGCATGCCTGGGACTGAATATTTACTTCGAATAATCGATTGGTTCGAATAATCGAAATCGAAATATTGTGATAGACGAAAACTTCTCCACTTTGACCAATCATCGCAAAACTACCGTTTACAACACACTTGCTTCCTCTAATCAATTGAGAAAAATAAATATTTAAGAAAAGATGGATAAAAATTATTGTATTGACATTGAAGACATAAATACTTGCATTTTATTTTACATTATGTATCGATCGTTTCGTTTCGTGCAAAGCCTTGATAATGGCCGTGTCGTCACTACGGTATTTACAGCTAAACTCTGGTGTTTTCGATTAGGATAAATTAAGGCTCTCATGTAGCGTTGCAATTAATGAAAAAAATGTTTTGCATGTTTTGACAAATTCACATATACGGATTGTATAAAAATTATTGCTGTCATCTTCAACAAAATCGGACACGGTGCATAGCTATTCATTTCGGTAATTAAAGTTGATTAAAGAACACACAAAGAGTTATTATCATGATTGTCTAATTACACGCATGACTGTGGATATTTTTCACAAGTTGACTGGTCAGCAAGTGGATCTGCGCCAATTAGTCTGGCTTCGAATAATAATTAGGCTGGCTTCGAATAATAGGTGTGAAATTCTTTCATAATTGTATAATCGGGACCGAAATTTTACTTCGAAAAATAGGAGGTATTCGGATAATGCATTTCGAATAATACGCTCGTATTTATATTGTTTTATATAGAAATAAAAACGGGACCGCCGATCTACTTCGGATAATGCCGGGTATTCGAATAAAGGGTTGTCGAATAACCGGGGTCGGACTGTATATACAATATACATACATACATACATATATATATATACACACACACACCAATAAATGCAATATATATATATATATGTATGTATCTATATTGTATATATATTATATATATATATATACATATTATACATACATAGCATAAGTCACGCATCCTACATAATGTTATAATTTAGATAACAGCAGATCGATTGCATAAAGACCTGTTCAATATTGCCATTTACAAACTTCTTTCTTGAATACTAATCACTTATATATATACACATTATGTTTTGAAACAACATAAAACAAAATGTTTTACAGTACTTCAAACACAGTATGGATTTATAAATTTGGGTTGTAATTTCTTGTGCAAGTTGACATTGCATTGTGAACATCCAAACACTGTTTAACTTGTTCGACCTCTTTCTGTCTGAACTTTCATCTTGCTGCAATATCGACACATTTTAGGCAACCTGACTGGTGATTTAAGATTGAAGTAAACGACAGGGATACTGGGTCCAATTGACTTGCCTGACGTACGCGATCAGAAAATCCACCAATCAGCTGTTCAGCAAACTATTTAAACATGTTAAGCACATAACGTAAGCATAGATCTTTTAATTTTTTCCTTAAACAACTTGGTTTGAAAAGTATTTATATAAAACTATATTTTCAAAATGAATGTTTGTCTAGAAACGAAACCAGTCATTTATCACTGTCATGCTATATTTTAATCAGACTCATCAATTTTTAAAGTCCTCAAGCCGTACAATTTAAAGTTGGTATCAATGTATGTTACATTGCAATTAGTTCTCCTTTCAACCAAAGGTACATTTCAATATTTGTGTGCTATATTGTAAAAGCAAATTGATTGATGTCACAAACACAGCATGAAAAATATATTTGACTGTTAAACCGAATCTTTACACAGCTGTGCAAATATTATCTTCAGTTGAAGCATCTTGTGAGTAATCTCTGGGTGTCTTGTAGAGTAGGTAGCTGTTGATAAATGACATGTCTATCCCGAACTAGACAAAATAGGTCCACAAGCATGCACTGCATCTTTGCAAAGAGTAACTACATCTCAAATGGTTATGTCTGTCAACACCTGAAATTTACGATTACTTTCGGACATGGCAATTCCAACCTTTCCCATTTTCCCTCCTCGTTTTTCTTCCTACTTGTGATGGTGTCTGAAAGAATATTAGCGGTTGGGTTGTAGTATGTATTTCGGTTAAAAACCGCTCTAGGGGCGTGAGGGATGTTGCATTTACTCATTATCCCTCATGTACAGACTCAATCAAACCGAGTCTGCAATTTTCATGTATTTATGTTCTGATTAATGATTCCGAGGGATCATTTTGTTTTTTATGATCACTATGTTTTTCAATGATCCCGATTAGAAGTTTCAATGGCATTTCATCAGATGTGGTAAACTCACTAGCACTTGCTTGAGCGGTACTCAATTCTCAACACTCAATAGTGATGACATCAATGATACCGAAGGACCAGAAAAATATAACAACACTGAAGTGAAGTACAGCTGCCACACAGCACTTGACACCTGCTGTTGTGAAGTATAAAAATCTGGAAACAAAGTGGTCCCTCTGACGCATAATCACAACAAAATTACGTGAAAATTGCAGACTCGGTTTGATTGAGTCTGTACATGAGGGATAATGAATAAATGCAACATCCCTCACGTCACTAGCACCGGCTTGAGCGGTACTCAATTCTCAACACTCAATAGGGCTGGCATCAATGATATCGATTAGGAGTCTCAGTGGCATTTCATCAGATGTTGTAAACTCATCTTCAGATTTTGATCTTTTATTATCTTGCTGTCTGCGTTCATTGAGTAAATTTTGTATTTTTTTATCTATAAGGTCATTTCATCTAACATGGAACAACTGTCCGTCTCATTTACAAGTAAGGAATTTTCAGGAAATCCCTCGTTTTGATACGTTTTCCAAACGTCATCATGTGGAGAATATTCCATGTTTTTTTTCTTTAGCTGGATCTGTTTCTTTATCATGTTGACCACGCGAGTTGCGGTTTTCGTCTCCATCTCTGTCTCTGTTGCTACATCTGATTTTTTATTATGTTAGCCACGAGAGTCTGAAGTTGCCTTGTTCGTCGCTGTCTCTGTTGCTACATCTGTTTCTTTGTCACGTAAAAATTTGAATGACTGTTTTAAAATGGAAATAGAAAGAACAGCAAATTCTAAATGCATGTCGTTTAGCTGTTTTAAAATGGAAATAGAAAGAACAGCAAATTCTAAATGCATGTCGTTTAGCTATTTTAATAATTTCATCAAAAAATAAATATTTTGTATATTTACTATTTTTAATTTCAGAAATGCATTAAATATATACACATGTGTTGTAAATTTTTTATATATTTTTATAATTACTTATAAATTGTGTCGCATAACTTTTATTTTGAGGCTCAGTAAACTCTTTCCTGTTTTAAACGTCGTTTCAATCATTACTAAAAGATAATGTAATATGGTTAGCAAATTGCTTGCTACTGGTCATGCTTTTAACGAAAAGTGATATTATTAGGCACTGGTGTGCTAATATATCCTCAGCAGCAAAAATAAGAAAAAAACTTTAACAGTTAAAAAATTAAAGGATAAATAAAAATTAGATGAGTACAATTTTAGTCACAGTAAAAATGATCAACAAAAGTATAATAATATTAAGCAAATACTTACATGTTTGATATCAATGCACTGTTAAAAATGAACGAGCACTATTTATGAAAAAACATTCCTCTTTGAAGCAATTTGGTTGTCTGCAGTTTGAAAATGGTGCTAATTAGCAATTACTCTGTTAACAGTCAATGTTTGAGATGAAATGTGTTGCGTTTCATGGTATTCGTATTGTAATTACACACTGTCATACAAATCTTTTGAATAAAAATCTAAAAATATGAATTTGTTTTCTTCAGTGTTACATGTCATTGATTAAAGTCATTACAATATTTTTCGTAAATATAACGTAATACACGGGAAAAAAGAAATATATTTAAAGACTCATGTTTATCTTCGAATACCAGCCATAACGGAAATAAACGTAATTCTTTTTGAAGCAGTACAGCCATTAAGTAGCGTTTTGTTGAAATTTGTTTGTGGTAATTTATTGTTAAGATTAAGATTAGAAAGTCCACAGCGTATGCATTACGGACTTTTCGTATTCTTCAAGTAAAATTATGAAAATTATGTATAGAAAAGCCATTACAGTACTTTTCGTAAAAATAACGAATTAAACGGGGAAAAAATGAAACAGATTGTAAAATTCATACTTGTCTTCCAGAGTCAGCCATAACGATAAAAACGTATTTTTGTTTGTTAGCAGTACAACCATTACGGTACATTTTGTTGAAAATCGTTTTGTAGTAAAAACGCCATAACGTAATTAATTGCTGTAAAGATGTAGATTAGAAAATCCACAGTGTATGAAAAACGTTTTTTTCCGTACCGTTACGTTACATTTAGACGATTTACGCAGATTTACGCTATGGCTATATGGATAGCTAAATATCCTACCGCTTTATTACGCTATGGACGTATTCCGTGTATAGAGCATGGCTTTTGGGGAATCAAAATTTCGAGACGCTTTTCTACGTTGTGGCTGGTATACGGGTATAGGGTGTGGCCGTCGAAAGGATATGTGACCTTTTCCTGAAGATTCCTTGGAAAGTCACATATGACAGTCTCGACTGTATACATATAAGGAAAACCTATGACCCCCCCAACCCCTGAGCCAGGCCAATTTTCACCCTAGGGCTAAAATTTGAACAATCTTGGTACATGTCCACTGGTAAATGTCTCATGTGCTCAGATCTTTTCTCTCAGTAGAGGTAATGACCTCAAATAATTTCATAATATTCTCTGACTAGCAAACATCTCTCTTGCTAGAGTTCATGACCTTTAGACAAAATTCCAGCTTGTGAATCTTATTTTAGAAACAAGGAGGCCATTGGCCCCAATGCACTCACCTGAGTACTAAATGCAATTGATATAGTATACAAAAGTGAATTTACCAGGTCTTAAAAATATACAAAACAGGGTTATTTTTTTAGTATACGTAAGAAGTTGATGTTTTAAGACAATACACCAAGAACTTTAAAGTTATGATCAAGGTTAAAGTTTGTGGATGGGAACAGTTTTTACTTTATACATATAAGGAAAACCTATGACCCCAGGGTGGGGCCAATTTTGAACCCAGGGCTATCATTTGAACAACTTTGGTCGAGGATCTATAGATGATATTATATACCAAATATCTAAGCTCTAAGCCTTGTACCTTCAAACAATAAGATTTTTTAAGTTTTTACTATATACATATAAGGAAAACTTATGACCCCCGGGGCAGGGCCAATTTTGACCCCAGGGCTATCATTTGTACAACTTTGGTAGAGGACCTATAGGTGGTATTACATACCAAATTTCTAAGCTCTGCTCCTGGTACCTTTAGACAAGAAGATTTTTAAGTTTTTAATATATACATATAAGGAAAACCTATGACCCCCCGGACGGGGCCATTTTTGACCCCAGGGCTTTAATTTGAACAACTTTGGTAGAGGACCTATAGGTGATATCATATACCAAATATCAAAGCTCTAAGCCTTGTACTTTCAGACAAGAAGATTTTTTAATTTGCATTTTTTAAACACCTTTTCTAGCACCGTGACCTACTTATGCAACAGACCGGAACTATTTGAACAACTTTGGCAGGGGACCACCCAAGGATCATTTCTGTAAAGTTTGGTTACTGTGCAGTCATTGGTTTTTGAGAAGATGTTGTTTAAAGAAATTGTTGACGACGCACGACTACACACGGTGGGGGATCACAATAGCTCACCATGAGCATGTTGTGCTCAGGTGAGCTAAAAAACGCATAACATGTGAAAAAACATTCATATATCACTGGTTTTAACTCATAAGTTGAGCAATTTTATAGCAAGATAAAAAAGACATGAGGTCCTTCTGAGACAGGGCCAATTTTGACCCCAAAGGTATAAATTGAATACAGGGTCACTAGATAATGTTTCATGCTAAAAATCTGGGCTCTAGCCCTAGTAAATTTGAAGACAATAGAGCCATAATGACACTTATGATTATGAAGGCTCAATCCTAATTTCCTGGATATTTGGACTGGAACAGTATCCCTGTGTGACCTAGTTTTTGACCCAAGGTAACACGTATTCAAACATGACCTTGAAATTATCAAATCAACTTTTCTGACTAATTTCATGGAAAATTGGACTGAAACAGTAGCCTCTAGTGTGTTAACAAGATTTTTTCATATTTGGGCTGTGTGACCTACATTTTGACAACAGATGACCCATTTTCGAACCTGACCCAAAAATTCTCTACACAACCATTCTGACCAATTTCCAGGATCTTTGGATAAAAAAGTAGCCTCTAGAGTGTTAACAATATTTCGGCTATGTGACCTACTTTTTTACCCATAGTGACCCATATTCAAACTTGACCTAAAGATCATCAAAACAACCTCTCTGATTAATTTCCAGGATATTTGGACTGGAACAAAATCCCCTGGACTATTAACAAGGTTTTTCCATATTTGGGCTGTGTGACCTAGTTTTGGCCCCAGGTAACCCATAATCAAACATGGCATTGAAATCATAATAACAATCTATTTCTGACCAATTTCCAGGGAATTTGAACTAAAACAATAGCCCCTAGAGTGTTAACAAGGTTTTTCGATAATTTGACCGTGTGACTTAATTTTTGAAACTATGTGACCCATATTCAAACTTGACCTAGGAATCATCAAAACAACTTTTATGACTAATTTCCAGGATATTTGTATAGGACCACTAGCCCCTAGAGTGTTAACAAAGTTTTTCCATATTTTGGCTGTGTGACCTAGTGTTTAACCCCAGGTGACCCATATTCAAACTTGACCTAGAAAACATCAAAACAACTTTCCTGACTAATTCCAGGATATTTGGACTGGAACACTAGCCTCTAGAGGGTTAAAATGGTTCTTTTTAATATTTGGGCTGTGTGACCTAGTTTTTGACCACAGGTGACCCACCAAGAAATCATTAAAACAACCTTTATGACAAATTTCCAGGATATTTGGATCAAAACTGTAGCCTATAAAGTGTTTACAAAATTTTTCTATTTGTATTCTATGATGTGGGTGTTGATAAGAAACACAATATTTAAAGTTTGAAGTATATACGTTAAGAAATAAAGAAGTTATACATAAAATAAGATATTTTCTACATAATAAAAAGGGAAGCTTTCACAAATGGCCAAAATTCATTGTTACTGTACATCTGGCAAGTATAGAATGTCAACTCAACTCATGCTTTCTAATTTCCTTTTCATACTGGAGTCTTTTTTTATAAAAGACTACCTAACAATGCTACAGACAAAGTTTGGTGATCATCCATTAATCAGTTCAGTAGACGATGTTTAAAGGGTTTTCTATTTTTAGCTCTAGACAATCAAATTAATATGAGCAAATTGGATAAAAGACTTCCTTAGACGGCTACACACAATGTTTGGTGAACATCCATCAATTACTTCAGTAGGAGATGATGTTAAAAGGTTTTTTCTATTTTTAGCCCCTAAAAGGGGCCAATCAAATTAATATGAGCAAATTTGATAAAAGCCTACCAAAGAATGCTAAAGACAAAGTTTAGTGATCATCCATCAATTAGTTCAGTAGAAGATAATGTTTAATTAAAGGTTTCTTTTTTAGCTCTAGAGGCCCCTTCAAGGGGCAATTCAAATTAATATGAGCAAATATGATAAAAGACTACATAAGAATGCTTCAAAGTTTGGTGATCATCCACCAATTACTTTAGGAGATGATGTTTAAAGGTTTTTCTATTTTTAGCCCTGTTGACCCCTAAAAGGGGCCAATTGAAATGATATGAGCAAATTGAAGTGTGACTGTCACAAGGATGTTGCAGACCAAATTTGAAGTAAATCTGCCCAGCAGTTTCAGAGAAAATAAATGTTGACACATGACAACAGACGACAGACTACTAAGCATCCCCCTTTGATACTAATAGCTCACCCTGAACCTTCAGTTCTGGGGAGTTAAAAAACAAACAAAAAATGTCGAACGACACATTTGCCCTTGACTAACATTATGGGTAATTTTGTTTTAGAAACTGGCCATAAATGGGTACATGGAAGCGTTCAGTTATGGAAAAAAAAGACAAGAGGGCCATGATGGCCCTGAGGTCGCTCACCTGTAAATAGGCCCCCCCCACCCCCCCCCCCCCCCAACGTTGCAGGGCCAATTTAACCCCAGTTTTTTCAAAGAAGATTTTTTAAGTTTTTGCTATACACATATAAGTAAAATCAATGACCCCCGGGGCGGTGCCAATTTTGACCCCAGGGCTTTTATTTGAACAAACTTGGTAGACACCTATTAGAACATGTTTGATGCTAATATCTTAGCCATAGCTCCTTGAGTTCTTTAAAAGAAGATTTTTTAAGTTTTTACTATATGCATATAGGGAAAATCAATGACCCCCCCCCCCGGGCCGGACCAATTTTGACCCTAGGGCTTTTATTTGAACAAACTTGGTAGACACTTATTAGAACATGTTTCATGCTATATATCTTAGCTCTAACTCTTTTGGTTCTTTAAAAGAAGATTTTTTAAGTTTTTACAATATGCATATAGGGAAAATCAATGACCCCCTGGGGCGGGGCCAATTTTGACCCCAGGGCTTTTATTTGAACAAACTTGGTAGACACCTACTAGAACATGTTTGATGCTCAATATCTTAGCCATAGCTCTTTGAGTTCTTTAAAAGAAGATTTTTTAAGTTTTTACTATATGCATATAGGGAAAATCAATGACCCCCCGGGGTGGGGCCAATTTTGACCCCAGGGCTTTTATTTGAACAAACTTGGTAGACACCCATTAGAACATGTTTCATGCTAAATATCTTAGCTCTAGCTCTTTGGGTTCTTTAAAAGAAGATTTTTTTAAGTTTTTACTATATGCATATAGGGAAAATCAATGACCCCCTGGGGCGGGACCAATTTTGACCCCAGGGCTTTTATTTGAACAAACTTGGTAGACACTCACTAGAAGATGTTTCATGCCAAATATCTAAGCTCTAGCTCTTATGTTTTTTTAAAAGAAGATATTTAAAGTTTTTTCTTTCGGTTGCCATGGCAACCAGAGTTCTGCATGGAATTAAATTCTTTGAACAATTTTTAAAGGTGACCACCAAAGGAACATTCCTGTGAAGTTTGGATGAAATTGGCTTAGTGGTTTATGAGGAGATGTCATTTAAAGTAAAAGTTTAGGGACGGACGACGGACGGCCGGACGCCAGACGAAAAGCGATCACAAAAGCTCACCCTGTCACTTTGTGACAGGTGAGCTAAAAAAAATGACCTACTAGCTATAACCAATCAATATGTGAAATATAAAGAGCTTGACCTTTGAACTAGTGAGCCCATTATGACTAATAAATATTTGAAATATGAAGACATTGTGATAAAAAGTTTCCAAGGTAATAAGCAGAAACCATATTTACATTAAAGGCCCCTGTGACCTTGACCTTTGAACTTGTGATCCCAAAATCAATAGGGATCATCTTCTACATATGGCTATTCAATATGTGTAATATGAAGACTTTGTGATAAATAGTTTTCATAATAATGAGCGGAAACCTTTTTGACATTCAAGGCCCCTGTGACCTTGACCTTTGACATAGTGATCCCAATATCAATAGGGGACATCTACTTGTAATCACAAATCAATATGTGAAATATGAAGACTTTGTAATATGTAGTATTCAAGATAATGAGCAAAAACCATCCTGACATTTAAGGCTTGTGTGACCTTTACCTGTAACCTAGTTACACCAAAATCAAAAGGGGTCATCTAATAACCAATCAATATGAGAAATATTAAGACTTTGTGATAAATAGTTTTCAAGAAAATAAGCGGAAACCATTCTGACATTTAAGACCCTGGTGACCTTGACCTTAGACCTAGTAACCCCAAAATCAATAGAGGTCATCTACTAGTTATGACTAATCACATTGTGAATTATGAAGACTTTATGATAAATAGCTTTCAAGATAATAAGCAGAAACCATTCTGACATTTAAGACACCAGTGACCTTGACCTTAGAAGTAATGACCCAAAAATCAAAAGGGGTCATCTATTAGTTATGACCAATCAATATGTGAAATATGAAGACTTTGAGATAAATAGTTTTCAAGATAATGAGCGAAAACCATACTTACATTCAAGGCCCCTGTGACCTTTACCTGTAACCTAGTTACACCAAAATAAAAAGGGGTCATCTAATAGTTATAACCAATCAATATTAGAAATATTAAGACTTTGTGATAAATAGCTTTCAAGAAGATAAGCGGTAACCATTCTGACATTTAAGACCCTGGTGACCTTGACCATAGACCTAGTAACCCCAAAATCAATAGAGGTCATCTGCTAGTTATGAACAATCACAATGTAAAATATGAAGACTTTGTGATACATAGCTTTCAAGATAATAAGCGGAAACCATTCTGACATTTAAGACACCAGTGACCCTGACCTTAGAGCTAATGACCTAAAAATCAATAGGGGTTATCTATTAGTTATGACAATTTATAATGTGAAATATGAAGACTTTGTGATAAATAGCTTTAAAGATAATGAGCAAAAACCATACTAACATTCAAGGCCAATTACTGAGTGAAATATTAAGACTTTGTGATGAACAGTTTTCAAGATAATCAGCGGAAACCATTCTGACATATAAGGCCCCTGTGACCTTGACCATTAATGTAGTGACCCCAAAATCAAAAGGGGTTATATACTAAATATAACCAATCAGTATGTAAAATATAAAGACTTTGATATATAGTTTTCAGGATAATCAGTGGAAACCATTCTGACATTTAAGGCAACTGTGACCTTGACCTTAGACCTAATGATCCCAAAATCATTAAGGATCATCTAGTAGTGATGACAAAATCAGTATGTGAAATAAGAAGACTTTGTGAACAATAGTTTTAAAGATAATTGGCGGAAACCATTCTGACATTTAAAGCCCCTGTGACCTTGAGCTTTGACCCAATGACCCAGAAATCAATAGGGGTCATCTACTAGTTATGTCCAATCAGTATGTGACCTTTGACCTAGTAACCCTATATCAATAGTGGTCATCTACTAGTTATGTTAAATATTAAGACTTGGTGATAACAGTTTTCAAGACAAGAGCCGGTTGAACCGGGTAATGCTCCCCAACTAGGTTTTGGACACAGAAAAGTATATCTTTCATAGTTTTGAGAGTTTTATCCCAGATAAAGTTCAAAATGTGATAATTTCAAACTTAGGCAAGGCAGAGTTACTGTTGTTTACATTGCACTTCTACTCAATGAGATCTAACAACTGACTTGCACGCGACACGTCCTCTTGATATGGTGATCATTTCTGTGAAATAGTTGTAAAATCAGACTTCAAATAACAAAGTTAAGGGCCGGACACGATTTTGATGCAAGGTCATGCTGTGACCTTGACCTTCAAGGTAGCGACCCAAATGTTGCGCGCGACACGTCGTCTTAATATGGTGATCATTTCTGTGAAATAGTTGTAAAATCAGACTTCAAATAAGGAAGTTATGGGCCAGACACGATTTTGCTTCAAGGTCATGCTGTGACCTTGCCTTGACCTTCAAGGTAGGGATCCAAATGTTGCGCGTGACACGTCGTCTCAATATGGTGATCATTTCTGTGAAATAGTTTTAAAATCCGACTTCAAATAACAAAGTTATGGGCCGGACACGAATTCGGGACGTACGGACGGACTGACCGACGGCCGAACAACCCGAGGACTATATGCTCCCCCGAAATTTTTCGGGGAGCATAATAATCAGCAGAAGCTATTCAGACATTTAAGGTCCCTATGACCTTGACCTTTGACCTAGAGACCCCAAAATCAATAGGGGTCATCTACTAGTTATGAACAATCAGTATGTGAAATATGATAATGAAGACTTTGTGATAAACAGTTTTCAAGATTATCAGCTGAAACCTTTCTGTCATTAATTTTAAGGCCCCTGTGACCTTGACCTTTGACCTAGTGACCCCAAAATCAATAGGGGTCATCTACAAGTTATGGCGAATCAGTATGTGAAATATGAAGATTTTATGCTATATAGTTTTCAAAATAATCAGCGGAAACCATGACTGTGGTCTACTGACAGACAGACCGACAGACACACTTTGACATTAGCAAAACAATTATACCCCCATCTTCTTTAAAGGGGGGCATAAAAACATTTTTCATGGGAATTCTAAGTTCAAGGGAGGTAAATCAAAATATTTTGGTGCTACAGTTGTGAACCTTGATGTGCATAATCTCCATACTGCAATCCATTCATATTTCAAGTTCATAAAAATATTTTCAGTACTTTTTGAGTTATCACAAATGTTGACATATATGCCATATTTCTAGTCTATTTTGTTGCCATAGCAACGAAATTTTTCAACATAGGGGAAAAAAGATGTGCATAATCCCCTGACTGCCATCTACCTATATTTCAAGTTGCATAAAAAAATTTGCGTAATCACGTGATCTAGTTTTTGTGTTATATTTGCTATATTTTATGTAAGTTGCAATAGCAACAAAAATTTTCAAAATAAGAAGTAAAGAAAAATATGTGCATATCCTCCAGTCTGCCATTTACCCATATTTCAAGTTTCATAAAAATATTTTCAGTACTTTATGAGTTATCACGGGATCCAGTTTGTGGACGGAGGGTAAAGCTAAAACAGTAGGGGACTAAATAGGTTATAGTAAAAATATTTTACTACAATAAAACTTTAATCTGAAATCTGAACGCGGACACCAGGGCGAGTTGGACAGCTCTCCATATACTTTGTAAAGCTGTGCTAAAAACTGATGCCAGATGAGTACAACAGCACTCAATATACTTTGTATAGTCTGGCTATAAAATGAATGTTCAAATAAACGTTATTATGAATGTACTTCATGAAATTTACCTGTCTAAGTTTAGACATAGCATCTGAAGAAATAAATTCGTTTTTGGCAAATCTTGTTATAAAACATAGAACCTGTGGTGTATTTTGAACAATGCCTCTCTCTTCCTCCCATGGAACAACTACACGAAAAATCTGCAAACGCTGAAATGATCAATGTTGTAATATGAATTATTAACAAATCTTCACAAATACTTTCCTCTTAAAAGTACTTTTTTGTTAAGTAATCTATTCTCACCCTTCATTGCACATGTATATTCTGAACAATGACTGTTTTTACCCTTCATTATCTTGGAAACAATTTTTGGGGAGGCTATGCCGACCCAGTGTTAATAACTGTCTGTCAAATCTTACTGCCGCGGTAATCAGGTCAAAAAATAGTACCTTGATTTTTTCTAAGCTGACTCATCACTCATCACAGACATTTACAATATGAAAATATTTTCATTCTTTAATTTCATATCTGCAATTTGTAAAGATAATAATTCTCTGAAAAATTCTTGATTTTTGTTTAAATCACTACTCCGTGACGTCATACTGCCGCGGTAATCAGGTCAAAAAATAGTACCTTGATTTTTTCTAAGCTGACTCATCACTCATCACAGACATTTACAATATGAAAATATTTTCATTCTTTAATTTCATATCTGCAATTTGTAAAGATAATAATTCTCTGAAAAATTCTTGATTTTTGTTTAAATCACTACTCCGTGACATCATACTGCCGCGGTAATCAGGTTTAGGCATACGTACGTCTGTAATAAATAG